GGTCCGCGCGGCCCTGGCGGCGGCCGGGAGCGGGGGCGGCCACAACCCGCGCTAGCGGCGGGCCGGGCCGGTGTTCCCGGGACCAAGGTCCTCCGGGAAGGGTCCGACCGGGAGCGGAGGAGCCGGGAGGGCGCGAGCAGTGGCCCTGGGCAGATGATGACGATAATAAAAGCGAACACTTAGCATATTCCAGGTCCGACGTACTGTTTTCTAAGAGTGCTCCGTATTTTAACCTCACGACAGTTCCACGGTTATCTAACTTTTCACGCGGGAAAACAGGTTAAAACTGCGGGAACTCACAGACTAGTAATTGGCAGAGTGCGGTTTAAACTCAGGCAGCTTTGTCCCAAAATCAGTGCTCCCTGCGACCCGGTCCCCACCTGCCCCGACAGCAGCCCTCCCTTCAGCTGGGTCTCGTTCCTGAGATGTCTTAGGATATCCGCGATACATCGTTCTCGTCTCTGTCTTTTGGGCTGAGGGAGGGGTATTTCGATCTAAGGCATCCTCAGTCTAATTTATTTTTCCCAATTCCGTTGTGGCCTTGCTTTTACTTTTTTTTTTTTTAACTTTTCCCCCATTTTTCTTTTTTATGGGTGATCTCAAGACTGAGCTAGAGTCCTGGTAGCTGACGATCCTCGAATCTCCATGTTCATCTTTTTGACTCTCTTTCTCAGGAAATTGGCGTCATATCTTTTCGGAGGGCAGGAATATTAGTTGCTAAAGGCTGGAGTTGAGCGCCCTTCGCTTTCTCCAGCTGCTTCTGTGACGCTGTCTCTTGTTCATCGCGATCCATGCCTGCTGCCCCTTTGGGTTGCTCTATTTTCCCACTCTGTTTAAATCCAGGGATAGGGAACGTGCTCTTTGGCATTGGATAGTTTTTGGCTGGTCAAAGGAGAGCCCAGGAATGCGAGATATTCTGGAGGCGTGGGAGTTTGGGCAGCTTCATCTTTTTTAAACGTGCTGAGTTCTAACTGCACAGGAATGAAGTCTATGTGCTTTGCACGCACATAGAAATTAGTTATTTGCATATTGTTAACAAAACTTTTAACACACCCCTATTGTGTTTTTTTCTTGGGGAGTGCTTTTAAAAAATATAATCAAAGACTTCCAGAATGATTTTTTTTCTGATTTTTAATAAATATCTCTAAGTAGATTCTTGCCAATCAGAAATTGTCCTGAAATTTCAGATTCCTGAAATATATGGAGATTTTTCTGGGTAGAAATAGTAAGATGGGAACTATTGATATTTGGGGTTGTTTTAACTCTTCAGCTAGACAGCCTAGTGCCAAAATGAAAATACTTATGTAATAATACATTTAGGGCGGAGGTACATGGAGCAGGGGACATTAGATTAACACAGGCTACTGAAGTCTTGGAAAAGCCACATTGCAAGGTACCGGGAAGTTAGTGTTCTCACTTCTAATAGATATATTATTTAGAATTTAGAACGTACAGAGAAAATACTTTTGCACAGTAATTTTCTTTTTGCTACAAAGTTCTTTGCAAAATGGATAAAATGGGTTTTTTTTTTAAGCTGATGATTTGGAGTTGGAAGAGATGCAAGAGAATTAGGAGAGTTTCACAAATACTTTGCTCAACAATCTGTTTGCACAGTTCAAACTTCACTTGGAAGCGATTTAGTAGGCTTCCACAAAGTCAAGTTTCTGAAATTGTTTCCAGTCCTATATATATATCTTGTTCACAATTTATATACTGTAGTGAGGCCACATTTTGTCTGTTACTTAAGTGTGTTAAAAAGCATCCTCCCACAGTAAAGCGCTGCTGGTGATAGTGGCGAACAGTTACTGAGGCTTCATGATGAACCAAACATTGTGCTAAGTGCCTTCCGTATTATTATATCATGTACTTAAATTGCCAGTTGAAATCTGTTAGTAACTACATTTTATGTTAGCACCAACTAGAGGGTGTTCATTTGGGGACATGGGAAAGTAATGTGGATGGTCTAAGAACATATATGTCCTCCAAACTTTCTCATCATAGTCCAGATTTTATGAAAGCTTGAATTAACTTATGTTACTAACATTTTTTTCAACTTTTGTATTTCCTTTTTTCAGTGTGCAATATGAAAAGTAGTAAAGTGTCAATAACAAAAGCAGTGCCTTGCTCACTGCAATGCTGACTAGAGGTGGAGTATAACCCTTTTTAGTTCCTCTCTTCCCCACCATTTTTGTTTGTTTACAGATGTTCTTAATGTTGACTAAAAATATTCAAGCATTTTTAAAACACTTTTTACAACTTTGGGTTACTAATTTGACAGTTAAAGTGAATTATTTTTGCTGAGATAGGTGAATTGTTTTATTTGAGACTTGCGATATATGCTTTAGTTTTTAGAGCCATCTTTTTACCAGTGATGGTGACCAATTTTTTAATTTCTTAAACTAAAAGCCATCAAAATTGATCAGAGTGACTTTATTAAGTAAGCTGCAAAATTGATGAATTAAACTAATAGTCTTCTCAATTAGTGATTTGTAAAAGAGTTGCCCAAACAAGGCACTTGAGTGTTTTGTTTTTGTTGGAGGGGAGACTTAGGTATAATAATAGTGCCCTTAAAATTGTCCTGAATTCATTTTAGAAGTTATCTACATATTTAAGGATTAATGTTAGATAAGTTTGAAACCAGATAAAATGTAGAAACTACGTTTTTAGAAATAATTTGAGATCAACAGTATTGAATAAAGGAACTTTAAAAGCTGTTAGAGAGGTGTTGGGGTACCTATTTTGATAACCAGAAGTAGAGAAACAATATTAGAAATCCAGCTGTGAGTTCACTTTTGTATACCCCTGCCTTTACTGAACGTCATGTGCTTATTTTCTTAAAATACTATTTTAGAGATAGATTTTTAAAAAACATTTATATTTTCCATTCAAAACACTCCCAACAATCCAGAGTTAACCATTTTTATTTCTATAAAAATTAATTGAAACTCTACAAATTTAAAAGCTCGTTACTCACTCTGCAAATTCTTTACTCATGCTGCAGACAGTTTTAAGTTGCTCATCCCTCATATGCCAAGCACTGTGCTATAAGCAGAGAACACATGGTTAGCAGACAGACAGGGTCATGATTTCCTTGAGGTGATAGTCTAGATAGGGAGACATGAATCATCTATTTGAACTTCAGAAAGTGCAATGATGAAAAGTATAAGATGCTATAAAGCATCTAACAGGAGATTATTTTCTTGTTTGGTGGTGGTGGTGGTGGATATGGGGGTGAGGGAGGTCCAGGAAGATTTCTTTGAGGAAATAATCTTTGAGCTGAGATCAGAATGAGTAAACAAAGAAGGAATAGTCCAGGCAAATGGAACTGCAGATAGACAGGACCCCAAGTCCAGTAGTTGATGTTTTCCGAGTTTTAGGGACAGGACTCATTAAAAGTATGAGACCAATTTGGTGGATTGCAACCAGCATTTTACAAAACGAAATGGGAGAAGATAGAAAACATCTGCGTGTATCACCTGGCTCCTTAGCCAGAATCTGTTCTGTTTGTGCATTACCACACACACACTGCACACAAACGTTGACATACCTAATGTGTATACTGGCTCATGATGTAAAATTATTTCCTACTGTGGGTCGCAGTAAACAAATAATTGTTGGAAGAACGAGAAAGAGGTGTGTGTGGCAGGAGTGTTGAGTAGGAATTGTGATTCCAGATGACATGGCAGAGATAAGTAGGAGCCGATCTCATGTTGACCCTTGTAGTTTAGAGTAGCTTTTCACTTGTCCTTTGGAAGACTTTTGAGCAGAGAAATGACATGAGGAGAGTCATGTTTTGAAAATGTACTCACTCACTACATTTGGAGTGGGACATGAATGGATATAGAGAGATCTTTAGGAAATTAGTAACAATAGCTCAGACAAGAAATGATGGTAATTCACATAGTGTGTAGTAGAGATAGAATTGGATAGATTAAAGAGCTGTAGATTAGGGAAAAAATCTAGAGTTGGGCGAGGTATAGGAAAGAATAGCTTATGTGTGACCCAGAAATAAATATTACAAAAACTATCTATTATAAATTTCACAGAAGTCCTTAGTAATTCTACCATTTTGAAATTATCTAAATATTCAAGACAAAACATTTGAAAACTGTTTTAATGATAATGCTTGAGCTAATTTAATGCCTCTGGTCATTTCCTTTTTGATTTCAAGAGATATAGACAAAATTAGGACTTTTAATTCTGGAAAGGTAAAATGAAAGGATGAAGCAGAAACAAACTAAGATTTTGTTGAGTTCCAACTATCTGCCAGGTTTAGGTGTTTTAATATATGAAGTCTTCTAATTTTATGTTCCCTTTTAATCTTCACACAGCCTGTAAGCAATTGTACAGGTCACACATTTAGAAAGTATTCAGCCAGGATTCAAATGTCTATCTTTCTTATAACAAAAGATTGTGTTTTTATTACACCATTCTGAAATTACCAAAAATATTGCTCCAGTAATCATACATTTATTTGTTCAACCAATCCAGGTGTTTCAGATTAGTGGACATCCTTAGAACTTGTTTTTAACAAAGAAATATTCTTGATGAAAGTTGATAACCCAGAATATGTGTGTGTATGAGTATGCATTATTGTTAAGAACAAACTGTAATTGGAACTTCTTTAATGTGTTGGGCACTTCTATACCATTGTCTCTTTTAATGCTTACAAAAGCTCATGATGTAGGTGTTGTCAGGATGTTATTCCCGTCTTACAAATGAGCATACCAAAGTGAATAGATGATTAACAGCTTGTCAGGTCACACGTAGTAAGCGATGGAGGGGGATTTTGAAAACAGGCCTTTCTTTTTTCAAAGCTCATATTTCATATGTATTTTTGAAGGTGATGCCATGGAGGGAGATTATGTCCTTCCACTAAGTGACATTTCAGAATAACTTACAGTTTAAAAAATTTTATACCCTAGGAGTTAAGAAGTTTATTAGGAGCATGAATTTTGATAACAAAGCAGATCAGGGTTCAAGTACCAGTTCATCATGTATCAGCTGAAAACTTAGGCACATCTTTTACCCTCCAAACCTCAGGTTCGTAACTTGTGAAATGAAGAGAATAGTAGCTTGCATATCATAGGGTTGTCAAGATTACTGGCACTTAATAAATGGAAGTTGCTATGTAAGTAGTACAGGATTTTTTTTAATAGAATGCTGAGGTGGGTTTTGGGCTGTTTGTAAAAACCTAGTAAATATCCCCTGGTTAATACAGCATTTGTGTTTCTCTCTTCTTTCTTTCTTGCCCCCTTAAGGATTTCAGTTTTTTTGACTGTTCCATGAAAGGATGATTGCTCACAAACAGAAAAAGACAAAGAAAAAACGTGTTTTGACATCAGGCCAGCTCTCTGCTGATGTGGCAGCTTCTGAAATGGGGCTCAAGTCCATAAATTCCAACTCCATTTTGGATCCTGATTACATCAAGGAGCTGGTGAATGACATCAGGAAGTTCTCCCATATGTTACTGTATTTGAAGGAAGCTATTCTTTCAGGTTTGTCAACTGTTTTCCCTTAGCATCCTTACTGGGTACTTTGTAAAATTTTAAATGCCATCCTAGCTACAGACAAGTGTGCACACAGTGGTGGGAACAGGGTAGTCTGCTTTAGTTATTTTACAGATTTTTGTCTTTGTCTTTGTTTTTGTTTTTGTTTTGCCAAATGTTTAATTTTTACAGAGTAAATTTTTTTTAATCAGATACAGTGCAATACATAATAGAAACTTTGTTAAGTGTGAGAACAAGAATGCAAAAAGTGAAGATCAGTCTTTGGTTTTTAGAAGTTGGACACATTTGACATAGGCAAATTTTAGAAATTTGGGATTTTAACCTCCTTGTTAATGTTAACACAGTGCATTGATTGGTCTTTAATAAGAAGAATAGGGTTTTAAATTTATATTGTTGATACTTCTGCCTGGATTCAATTTTCTATATTGTTCCTAAAACTTAATCTAAAATCACTGATTTGAGTGAATTTTTGTTCTCAAAAATCAAAATTATGTTCTGATGTTCTTTTCTTCAGTTAAGGGGTAAACACAGAATTTGTCCTCTGTCTGGTTAGAAGTGGATTAACGAGGCATGAGACTTGATTCTCCTGAAGTAAAGAGCTATATACATCTGTACTCCCTGACTTGATGTTAATACCCAAGTCTTTCAACTTTCTGTGCCTCTTTTATATCTAAATTTGATGGCAATGATAATTAATAACCATATACTCCCATTCTTTCATAGTAAGTAGCAGTTCAATCCATAGTTATAATGGTGTGTCTGGGTGCAGGAAATGAGGACTCCTAATGTTACTTAGATGAGACCTTCTGGGGCTTCATAGACGTTTATAAGATTTCAGTAAAGACTTTCTATGTGTGTAAATTAAATATTCACTTTCTGATATGTTCTGAAGAACAGAAACTAAAAGCATGTCTTGTATTTGTCCTAAACGCTCTTTTTAAGAGTTTATTTCTAACCTGACAATAATTTTCAAGTTGAAATGCCCTAGATAACTGGACTTGAATTGTAGCCTCAAAATTTTAGTATTTGAATTTTCCTTGAAATGACAGTCACATAAGTCATTCTTCTGAGACTATGTATATATTTTTAGAAAAGGATTTACCTACATTCCTGTTCATTTTAATAGCTTGATTTTGAAGTCTAATTATGAATAAGTAAATGGTAATAAAGTTATCTTGTTCTAAATACTGGTAACAAGTTTATTACTAAAATAACATCTGCCATTTATTTAAAGAAGCATACCTTTGTAATAAAGATTCGTCCTTAACTGGGTTAGTTGTTTTAAATTTGTTTTTTGACTTACATACAGTAAAATTTATTCTTTTTGATGTAACTGGGTTAATTTTGAATTTGAAATTTAAAATGATGTATCAGTTGACAAGTCATTTACTTCAACTTAGGGTAAAATCTGATTTTATTTAATGTATCAATTTAAATAAGTTTTTATTAATATAAATAAGGTTTAGTTAAGATGTTTATTTGTTTTTGTTTCCCACAGGAGATTTATATCATTTGGAAGGCTCATTTTGCATTTTTATCCCTTGTTTCACAGATTTAAAATGATGGTAATTTAAAACAAGTTGGACCCACTCCTTATCTCTACAGTTTTTTAATAATGAGTTTGTTTGTGAGTAGACAGTTCGTAGGTTAGGAAGGAAGAGAACTGAAAGCTGATCCTAAGTGAGAAAAGAGAAAATTGGTAATAAGATAGCAAAAGGAGACTACCCTTTGAGATAAAAGGATGTGTGTGGAAATGTATGTTTTACAAAAATGTAATATTAAAAATCTGTAAGAATGTTACACATTTAATAAGAAAACCAGTACTTCAAAATTTAAGTACTTGATTGTATTGCTAATAATAAAAAAGCACACCATTTATGGCTGATAAATTGATTTAAAAATGTAAAAACCATCTTTCGGATAACCAACTCTCATGAATAAGCAGTGGCCAGAGGATTTTCATTCATTTATCTTTGGATCGATTTTAATACTTGGTTCTTCAGTCAGGGTTAAAAGGACTTATGTATGCCATCTCAGAATAAGTCTTGGGTTTAACAAGAATTTGTTTTCTCTGTCTTTGGAACCTTGTTACCAAAATTTGGAAGTACACTCTTTAGTTTATTTGAATTGATAGAGCTTTTTTTGTTTGTTTTCCTAAAGGGAGTATATATGAACATATAAATTAACCTCATTATCAATGGTAAGAAATGCTGTATAATAATATGCTTGTTTATGTTTTTAGCTTGTTAAGAGTCTCATACTACACCTTATTTACTTAATAATTATTACAAAAATCACATGAGATATAATATTCAGAAAAATATGTAAAAAGTTTAAATTCTGTAACTATTTAAGGTGGTATTATTATATATGTTCCTGGACATAGACACAGGCCATGCTTTTGTCTTCTGGTATTGAGAAATATCCCGGGACTTCCGTTCTTTAGTACCACCATAGTTGTAAATGTGGCCAGATAGCAAAGAGCTGTTGCACTGTTTTTCTCTTGGAGTAAGGGACCTTTGTCAGTATTGTGTCCGTGGCCTTGCCAGTATTTTATCTTTTGCGTCCTTAAGAAAAAGGATGCCAATTTTTTGGTATTGTTTAAAAAGTTAGCTTTTAAGAATATAGACTGTGGGTATGCAGATCATCTTCAGTGTAATCTGAATACCATTTTCTTTATGTACTTTGCCTGTTGTGAGGCAATGAAGTACAAAATCTCTTGACTGTTGCTTCAAGTGGTCAATTGTGTTGTTGAGGCAAGGCTTAGATTAATAGCTTTGTGATAGGTTCATAGCCACATTTCCCTTTCCCTGAACTAGTGATAGAGATGACGTATAATTGTATATGGTGCTTTACATTTTACAGAGTACTTTTATATACAGGCAGTATTAATCACACAGTCCCCACAAAGGCAAGTTCTTTTAGCTCCATTTCACAGATGAGTTGTATGTGTAATTTAGATTATGTGATTTCATCAACCTCTTATTGTTGATGAATCGTGGTTTCCTTTGGAACCCAGGAGTCATGAATGCAGAATGGTGGGTTATTTTCAGCTGCTTCACATGGCAGTCACTCTAAAAACACTGCTCAGTTTTCATTATTTCATTAACCAGTTCTGTTTTCCGTGGAGATTATCTAGATCTGCACTGTCAATATGGTAGCCTCTAGACATGTGGCTATTTAAATTTAATTGAAATTTGAAATTCACTTTCTCAGTTGCAGTAGCCTCATTTCAGGGGTTTATTAGCCACCTCTGGTTAGTGGCTGCCATTTTGGATGGTGAAGATATAAAAATTCCCATCATTACAGAAATATCTGTAGAACAGTGGTGGTATAGACATTTGACTTTCATCAGTCTCAAGAATAATGAGATGAATTCTTAAGCTATAAATGTTTTTGATTTCTGTAGCATGAAAAGAAAACCTAGAAAATGTCATTGGAACAAATTTAAGACAGTTTTCCCTAGAAGTAGAAACTTTTGGAATCTATTTGGAATCCCCTTCTTTAAGTTGCCTTTGGAATGTGTAGGTTTCATGCAGTTCTTTGATTTGAACTAGCAGATCACTTTCTAGACATTTTACACAGTTTGGTGAAATTGGTAGTAGGGGGTTGCAGAGATTGCTCAGGAAAGAGAATCACACAGTATAGGTTCTAGGCCTACTTTTGCTGTTGACTAATTTTGGAATATGATTTGTCATTTTATAATTTGTTAAGAATGAGGTGCCTACACCAGAGACTACTGATTTTGTAATTCTGTGATTCCAAAATTGATTAGAGTTGGAAATTCTTCATTGTCCACAATAGTGACAGTTCAGAGCTGAAGAAGACAGCTAAGTATTTGTTTTCAAACTTCATAATGAATTTTAGAGGACATCCACCTCCTACCACTCTACAGGATTTTTTGTGAGTTTTATGATAACTGTCTTAAGTATGATGTTTATGGAAATTTCCCAAGTGAGAATGTGAAGCTCGTATTACAGTAGTTATTGAGAACTGATTAGCGAAAATTAGTGCCTGCCAAGGAACTCTGTGCCCTTAACAGAGTAAAGATATGTATGCGCTTCGTCTCTATTGTTTTTATTTACAAATAAAAATGGAGAGCTTAATGTGGGAGATCAGAGGACTGTGAAGACACTTACTTGTTTGACAGGATAAATGATAAGATTTTGTTGATTCTCTGTCCACTGCTTATTTCCAGGGGGAGGTTACCCTGTAGTCTTATATAAGTAGCAGATGTGGAATTCAAAGTTTTAGATCTCTATCCAGTGTCATTAAGGTGCATTATGAATAATTACAGGGGCAAATTTTGCATCTTATGTTAAAATGCTGAAGGCACGTGATTATGCATATGTCCTCTGTGTTTAAATATAATACTGCAGACTGTGTGCAGTCTAAGTACCAGTTCAGGTTTATTGTTGCTCCCGCCCAAGAAATAATGTGTTCTGAACACCAAAGAACACGTTTATAAATGTTCTTCTAGTTTATACAATAATCTTATACTCTGTCTTTGTGACATACCTTCCCATTCCCAGGTGGAACACCATTCAAGGAAGTTCAAACACTGGGAATTTGAAAAGTGCAGGGTTTTTATTGCAAATTGCTTAATTTGTCTGATACTCAATGCTTGGAAGTGTCCATTGCAGTTATAATATATATTTGAAGAAAAATAGACAATTAGTCTAATACTTCTTGTAGCTTTTTGATTATATAATACTATTTTCAAAATAGATTTTAATAAAAGTTTACTGTTGGGACAGTGGTGCAGTGGTGCCTTGTTTTTCTTTTTTGTTTTTTAAATAGGCTAGAAAGGAAGATAATACTTTATCATCAGTTTCAGATAAAATAGTTCTCTAATTTTCAAAAAATGATTTCCAGTTTAAGAGTGTATCACTTTTATTTTATAAGAATGTAACTAATCTCATAAATGATAGCTTTTGATGAATTCTGGGTCCTAAATTTGACAGAACTATAGTCAGAGTGGTATGTTA